AAATCAGTTCTATTCAGCTCAAACCAGGACACCGCTTTGCTGGCAAAAGATGTGATTGGATAAATTACACTGTAATATCAGGTTTCCAGCACTATTTCATGTGCATTTCTAAGAGAAGTTAGCTTGAAACAGTCTACTTCCCTAAAACAACAGTCTAGGAAGTACAGAAATCGATCAGGACACAACTCTTTTCAAACTTCCCTTTACCAACTAGCTTTGCCCTTGGTGCAGGATGCTCCACCTCTCTTTCATTATGTAGTTCCTACCTGGACTCTGCTAGTCACCTCTCAGGTCCAGGTCTTGCATGTTCTCCCCATGCACCCATTCTGGCCACTGAGTTGCTCTTGCTTGCACAATTTATGGTGATGAGCCATGTGGAGGCCATCATCTGAATCCTCATCAACACTGCCCAACTTGTGGCCAGGACTCAGATACACCTTCTGTGTCAACCCTGCTGGTAGCTGGGTCAGGCACCTTCTTCCACCAAAAAGCCATCACATGACATCCATTCTGAGATAGATGCGGCCCTTACCATGACAGGACTCAGCGAGCACCACTGGCTTTCCTTGGAAAGTCTTGTGTAAGGCTTGGTCTGGAGGCTTCTCTAGCACCCTCCAGCTTTCTCTCCTGATACTGCTCCCTACTTAATCAAGAGCCTTTTACATACAACTCCTCTCAGGTCAGGCACATTGTTGGGATTGATTTGAGCACCAACAGAATCTACCTGCCCCAACACCAGCTCCAGTTCTCCCATGCTCTCATTCTGTTGTGAAATACTGGTACTTGTGCTTTCCACATTATGTTATGTCTAGGCTTTCCTCTAGTCTAACATCCTCCTGTTTGGAAAATGCTCTTGTTGAATGAGGTGTCTCTGGGAGGGCAAAACTCTAAGGACACACTGCATGAGCCCTTATCCCTGAATAGCGCTGCCTGATAGACATGCTTTTGTGGAACACATTGCCAGATAGTCCAGACACTTCATTTGAACAAATGGTCTCCAGCTCTGGCACTATGTTAACAAATAAAAAAAAATCTACTTAGAACAAAGAGTTCTACTGATTTACAACCAGAACTACAGATTTACAACCCAGAGATTATTTGCTCACCTTCTAAAACCATCAGTCAGACCAACTGCAGAGGTTTCTAAAAAGATTTGCAAGACCCAGTGTGTGGTCACCAAGCTCGGATGAATATAGTCTCCAGAAAGCATCCTGAAACAGGTGACAGTTTGGGTATTTTAATGAATATCATATACCGTGCAGATGTATAAATCAGAGCACAACTTCAGCTTCATGCTCTTCACTTCATTTTACTTACCATCAGTTCCTATTTCACTTTTAAGGTCAGTACAAGACTGGAAAAGACACAAGAAAAGACTGAGTATTGAAGAATACTTCTTAAATCATTAGTTGTTGGTCATTTTAATGGTGTTAGACTTTAGCAAATTTATGAGGCATAAACTAGTTAGCTTTACAATGTCCAAATATTGTTAGTCTTAGAAGACTGCTCATTTGAAGCCTGTGCTCTCCACTCAATTTACAAACTGCCCCTATTTCCTTAGGCTGATGATGTGACTGCCTTATTTGCAGTGTCTTGGTCAGGATACAAATACAGTGGGCTCTGCGATGAATTTGCTCTTGGAGGTGGTTGTGTACTAGTCAGTCTTTCCGAATTTCCTGGACAATTCTCCCTCCACCGTGGACTTGCCTGCTCCTGAGACACTTCCCACACAGATGGGCACGGGGAGGTAAAATTCATGGTGAACCACAAGAGGTAGTTCTCCTGAAGACCTTCTTCTTGGAGGCACCTGTTTGAAAGCACTTCTTTTTCTTTGGAGTTTTGCCATTTCATTCTTTGATTCTGAAACCAAATTTTCACCTGAGACTCCTTTAGACCCAGGTTAATGGCCAGTTTCTTCCTGTCTGTTTTACTGATATACTTCTGCTTCTGAAACATTTTATCCAAAGCTTTCCTCTGGTCTTCAGAAAAGACAGCTCTTCTTAATATACCTCTCCGGGCTTTCGAGTTGGACTCCTGGGTCAGAAGAGGCAGGACACTTTCCTCTCTTGGAAAAGCAGTGGGGGATGCAGGGTGCTGACAGGACCCACCGCAGCACGCTGAGTAGAATGTCTGGGCTCGGAGAAAAAAGTGTTTGGAAAGAGCTTTAAAGCAGACCACTGTGCCCTTGTGGCCAAGAAGGCAAATGGCATCCTGGGGTGTATCAGGAGGGGAGTGGTTAGTAGGTCGAGAGAGGTTCTCCTTCCCCTCTACTCTGCCCTGGTGAGACCACATCTGGAATATTGTGTCCAGTTCTGGGCCCCTCAGTTCAAGAAGGACAGGGAACTGCTGGAGAGAGTCCAGCGTAGGGCTACAAAGATGATTAAGGGAGTGGAGCATCTCCCTTATGAGGAGCGGCTGAGGGAGCTGGGTCTCTTTAGTTTGCAGAAGAGGAGACTGAGGGGAGACCTCATTCATGTTTATAAATATTTAAAGGGTGAGTGTCACGAGGATGGAGCCAGGCTCTTCTCGGTGACAATGATAAGACAAGGGGTAACGGACACAAGCTGGAACACCGGCGGGTCCCCTTAAATGTGAGAAGAAACTTCTTCTCAGGGAGGGTGACAGAGCACTGGAACAGGCTGCTCAGAGAGGTTGTGGAGTCTCCTTCTCTGGAGACATTCAAAACCCGCCTGGACGCCTTCCTGTGTAACCTCACCTAGGTGTTCCTGCTCCGGCAGGGGGATTGGACTAGATGATCTTTTGAGGTCCCTTCCAATCCCTAATGTTCTGTGATTCTGTGATTTTCCTCACAGGAAAATGCGAATCCTAACAGCAGGACTCCAGGAAATTTGGGCTTCAGCTCATACCTATTCTCTAATTAGCCTTGGACTTTGGAAAAGTAGCTCATCATAAACACTAACAGGCCACTGAAAAAGAGATTTCTCTCATCAGCTCTTCAGTAGATCAGGTCACTAGGAGACAGATATATAAGAGTCAGACCTTTCAAATTCATTCCCCGTTCTGTCAGGCATCTTCATCTTTAGCTTATCTGGTATTCAAGTCTGCTTCTCAGCACAGCTAGTACAACCACAGCTAACACTATAAAGAATTTCTCTGTTCTCATCTATTATCTCACTATTACTGCAAAGGAGTATTCATGATGCAGTTATAGGCACACAGGTCTCCTCCTTAGTTCAAGAGGGAGGAATGCCCATTAGATTTCCTTACCACACTCTAGGTCTACTTCCTTTATGGCACTGGCACTGGAAGATTCACAGCAGTCCTTTGAAATGCAGCCAGGTGGCTTATTGTCATCTGCTGTGGCCTTCGTCCAACTATCAGGGATTTCTTCATATTCCACGGTAAGTTGTGGAGCTACCCTAGGAAGGGGAAAAATACACTGCTTTTACGACAAGGGATTATTTCTGTTGCATTACATCTGCCCTCCCCTTCACTGTAAGAAAACTTTAAGAGAAGTGACAAGACAAAATAATCAGCACTACTTACACACAATGCTCTTGTCCAGTGACAACAGGCACTGAAGGAAACGTTTTCCCATATTCTGCCAACAAGAAAGGTTTCACTGTGACTAAGTAGCTGAAACAAGACTGACAGTCACCAGAAGAGCAAAGCTTCAGATGACTGGCAGCAGGAGAGAAGAAAAACCTAAGAACAGTCCTGCTTGGAGCCAACCCTCTCCTTTGTCTCCACAGGCAAATTGTGTCGATGTCTGGGGGGGAAAGCAATGCAGGTACCTGGAGGGGAAAACTCAGAAAACAGAAGCCTCCCTGGCAAATGGAAGGAAAGGTCCACACCAAAGACAGGAAGGTGGGATGCCACCACATCACAAACCCCCCAGCAACTGACTACATTAACTTCCAAAGCTTCTGAAGTTGGGAGCCCAAACAAGGCTGACACACTTGTCTATTGGAGGAACAGCACAAACCACATTGGGGCAGTGGTTTTGAGCTCCACATATACATATCTCACAACTATGTTATGAGGAAACAGAACTGTATGTAAATCAGGCATCACAGACTGTCCAGAGCACTGACTCTCCTCGCAGAAGGAGGAGAGGCAAGAACTAGCACATACTAATTACTAGAACTGAAGGAAACCCAAGACCTCTCCTGCGCAGCTAACTGACACGTCAGGAGTCACCGAAGTTCAGAAAGAGACCTCGGGCTTATCTGGAGCCAATTCTGACACTCTCCACTACTGCAAGACAAAGGCGGTCTTCAAAATACCTCAGCAGGTGCCTCCACTTGCTGTGACTGAAGCAGTCTTTGTAAATAAAAGATCTCAAGCTTCAGGCATTGATTCTTTCCCTTTAAACACACAAAGGCACCTCGGGCTTCTCCCACTTTGCATTTCTCCTCCTGCAAAGCCAAAGCGAGAGCTCTGTTGTTGGCCTGGATGCTGGATGTTGTTGCACACATCTGCTGGCTCCAAGAGAACTCTCCTTCATTACACACAGGAAATTAAGAATGAGCACCAGACAAATTGTCACACAGGCAATCAAAGCAACTTACTTGAGCTATCGGCACGAGGATGGCTCGCAGGCTTTCCCCAGCCCTGTCCATTGCTTGTTTCTCTCTTTTATTCGTTCTTTCAAGTTGGCCTGCCTTCTGCACGGCTTTCACAAGGCCTTCGCCATCTCCTGCCTTCACAAACAACAACGGTGCCACCCGCAGCGGCCGACGTGCTGCGAAGGAAGGCGCCTGGAGCCGCAGGGAAGCGCGGTTAGCCCGGAATCCCCGGCCGGCCGGCCGCGCCACCCTCACCGTGCGGCCTAAACCGCCCTCGCCAGGCGGGGCTTGGCGCCGAGCGGCTCCAACCGCCCGCCACCGATAGAACTGGGGGCGCGCTCGCGGCCCGTCCCCGCGCTGCTGCCACGCCG